ACATTCGGTTCTTTAGACGGTTGACCAACAGTCAACTTATTTTCTTTCTTTTCAAAACGATTTAAGTGTTACGGGTTTCTCATGAACTCTTTGACCACTGGTCAAACCAATTTAGACTTTCACCGAAGTCAAACCACTTAACATTTATTTCCTATGACGGAGATAGCCTCAATCCGTAATACCGAAGATGGCCTCAATTCGGTGGAGGTAGGATCCCTCGGGCGATGGCCTCAAACCCAAGATCGCAGACCCTCGTGCGCACGTCTTAACCTCACTGACCAGGCCCTGCAGCCGCCCGAGCGATGGCCAGTTTCTATGTTCAACACAATAAACCAATTGACCTTAATCACCGATTAGAATTAATTAATTAACTTAACTAATTCATTAAAGTTTTGGATTTAACCATTCGGTCAAACCTACGACAACAGAATATCCAGTCAAAGCCTAGGTCAAACATGACCTAACCCAAGTCAAAGTCAATCTGTTCAGTCAATTCACAATCCTCAACAATTGAATTCAAACAATCAATTTAATTCAATTAACCAATTTAGCCAAATTATAGCATAAACACATATAACGATCCAAACCATTAAATCTATTCTGAATGCTATTAACTTCATAGTACGGACCTGGATTACGTCGAAATCGAATCGATAGCTCGAACGGAAGACAAATCAATGTAATCAACCGAACGGGTCAAATCGAGTCAAAGTACGAAATCGACCAATCAATCCGGCGTGGAGGTTAATCTGCCGGCGATATCAACTCGGGGTAGCGGCCGGATGCGGCGACGGTGATGGACGCCGGCGACAGTGGCGGAGCGGCAGTTCGACGGCGATGAGCAGCGACTGGCGGCGCTACAATCGACGGCGGCGCTGCACTCGATGGCGGCGGATGGCCGCTGTGCAAAGGGCGACGGCGGCGCTCGATTCCGGCGAAGGCGAGGCAGCGGCGGCGCTGCAACTCGGCGGCGTTGCAATCGACGGCGGCAATGAGCGGCGACGCCGGCGACTGGCTCACGGCGGCGCTGCACCAGTCGGCGATGATGGCGGCGAGGCTGGGGAAGGCGACGGCGGCTCCAACTGGACGGCGACGATCGGCTGGGGAAGGCGACTGGCGGCGGCGACTCTGGCTTGCGCGACGCCGGGCAGCGACGATTGGCTGCGGCGAGGAAGAAAGAAGAAGAAGGAGAAGAAAGAAGAAGAAGAAGAAAGAAGAAAGAAGAAGAAAGAAGAAGGAGAACGAACGAACGAAAAAAAAGATAAGGATTGTGTGGCTGAGGTTAGGTTTATTTAATGGTCCCATTCCAAAAAGGATTGGGCTTCGGACCCAAAATACCTGATTAAATGGTCATAACATGAGCTCCATAACTCCGATTCGCGAGCCGTCTGAACCGGCGCGATCACAAAAATATTTCCTACGAGATGACATGAAAGTTGGGCTTAAAATCCAAATTATAGTTTTTAACCCCTTATTGGGCCCAATTCGTAATCAATTGCTCTAACAATTTAATTAATTCTTTTGGGCCAGGTTTCGGGGCGTTACAATTTCGTGCATCCCCTCTCTCCCATTTAAACACTTCATTTCTTCATCAAAAAACCACTCCAAATATTGCCTTTCTCCTGCCCTCCATTCCACCCTATCACCTCTTCCAAACAACCATACTCTCTTCACAATTTCATACACAAATTCAACCTATTCTTCACCATATATCCCCATCTTTAATCTGCCCTTATTCATCCATAGCTTTTCTTAAGCTTAGGTACATCAATGTTTCAAAGCATACTTTGGTGAGACCGAGATTCTTGTTTTAGCCAAAAAGCAGTTGGTTCTAGGTCAACTAATGAGGCGTGGTGAGTATGCCGAATAGCACGTGGTTCTATATTGCGTGATGAGGCCTTTTGAGTGTTAGAGTCAAAAAGCATGCGGTTCTATGTCGTGTGATGAGACTTTCCAGAGTGAATATCCAAAAAGCTCGTGGTTCCATGTCACAGGATGAGGTTATAATTTTTCTCGTATCAACATGACAAAGTTATGCCAAAGAAAATTTAACCCTTACACTTTGACAAATACTTTTGCAAGAACATGTTTTCCAATTTAGTCATTAAAAAAATTATTTGATCTTTAAAGTATTCTTACAAATGTAGTTATCCGAAAGAAAGTTTGGAACATTATGGTTGTTTAGGTTGGTGTAAAAATATTGGTTTGCCAAAATTCTTTTACATTTCCAACAATATGGGTGAGAATCTAAAGGTTCATTTCTCCTTAACAAAAAAGGTTGATGACTATCTTATTTCTTCTTTCCTTCATAATATGTAGCTTAAACCTTCCCTCTGCAATTATTAATTTGCCTTTATACTTGTAATTATTCAATTTGTTGCTTGAGGGCAAGCAACGTTTAAGTGTGAGGAATTTGATAAGTCCGTTTCGTTCTTATCATTTACATCATATTCTAAACGTTATTGCACGTAAATAATATTTAATCATCTCATAAAATGTGATTTTGATGGATAAAACTCTCATTTTTGTTCTAAGAGTCATAAATAGGGATTCCACATAAAATCATCATAAATCATCCATTTTATGTTCAAATACTTGAGAAAAAGGAAATAAATCATCAAAGGATCAAGTTTTGGGCTTGAACGAGCTTCCGAGAAGATAAAATCGACGTTCGGGCCGAAAATCAGTGAAATTTGGCCAAGATCTCGTAACAGTCGCGAAGCCCAACAGACTAAGGCCTCAAGGCGTCCAACTTGGACGCTTGGAGTTGGACGCCTTGGCTGGATTGCAGATCAAGGAAGACACGTGGCAAGCAGCGAATGGACGGGCCGCGTAAGGCGTCCAACCTTGGACGCTTTGGATCCGGACGCTTTGACTTGGACGCCTCGGCCTCTGTCCTATAAATACAACGCGATTCTCCCCATTCAAAACATCACTTTCACTCCCATTTTCGGGAATTAAGCTTTATATTCCAATTCCAAGTATTAGTTTAGCATTTTAGCAGTTTTGGAGTAATTTTTGGAGGAATTCTACTCCCGATCAGTTCTGTTCCGCTTTTACGGAAGTTGTAAGTTTTCTTTATTTAATAAAATGTTGTTTTAATTTATGTTTGCATAGTATGAGATAGGGTCTAGATCTCTGGGTCCGGACTAGTTTGGTTGTTTTTCGTGTGTTAAATTAATGTTGGAATGGTTAATCTATTGTTCTTGCCTTATTTAGTTAATTATTCTCGAAAGATTTAATTAGCTATTTATTGAGAAAATATTTTATGCCAAAAGGCTATGATATTCAAGTACAACGGATTAAGTACAAATCTAGAAATAGATGAGTAGTAATAGAAATATTATTATTCCAATTGTTAATTTAATATGATAAAATAGTTCCGAATGATGTCCAGACCCTAGATCCAGATCTATATTTATACTATGTAAACTTAATTTATTATTTTTACTCTGCTCCTTTTTTACAATCGTTTCGAGAAGACTTTCATAAACCAATCCTAACCTTCGCCTAGTTAGAGTAATTAAACTGATTCCCTTCGTCCACTCCTCGAGAGACACGACACTCGGAGAGAAAACTAACCTTGTATTGGGAAGGTTTACTACCCGAAAAACTAAACCAAATTAAACCCAATCGCCACTATATTCATATCTCAATTGCCCACTCAGCCCACTCTAATTTTCGTCGTCTTCCTCACAAGAATTCTCAAGAACCATAATTTCTTCAGATTCTTTCCCCAAAATTCAGCGAAAATGAAGATTGTTGGAGAAAATGTTCATTTCCAGAAATTAGAAGCCAAATGTTCTGCACCGGTGTTCTATCAAACTTATTTGGAGATGATTGCTGCACAGGAACTCTCTGAATTCCTTCATCTGGAAATCGGCTCCAAGTATGAAGACGAAGTTCTTGAATTCTACAAGAATGGAAAAGTCACAACGGTTCAATCCAAGAAGAATCCACAGAGGACTATTTCAGTAATTAAGTCCACTGTTGGAGGAACCAAGGTGAAGATTTCTCAGAAGAAATTGAAGAAAAAGCTCCATGTTCCCAACTCTGGAATTGAAATTGGGAAGCTCCCGTCCAAGAATCTGGACTGGAAAACTTTTGGGATTTCTGGACAAATCCCCTCTGCCCCAGCAAAGAAGGCCGATCTGAAGAACGACTACAAACTGGTCATTGCATGTCTTGAATGTGGCAGTGGAGGAAACTTCAGAAGAAGAACTTCAGCAATTCCTCCAATCTGAAGTTCAAGAGATCCCCACAACCCCTTGTGAGATCTCCAAACCAACTGAACCTGAAATTCCGGAGAAGTCAACAGAAAATCTGGAAAAATCACCTTTTCCTGAAACTACAGAGGAAGAAGCTCATGAAGAACAAGCAGTTGAAGTCCAAAGAAGCTTTGAAGAAGCTGAAGAAGGAGCTCAAATAGCTAGGCTGGAGGCCTCTGAACCTCTAGTAGCTATCTCTGAGCAACAAGTTGAAGATGAAGTCAGAGATTCCCTCTTTAGGGAAATCTCAAATTATGGAAATGAAGAAACAGAGTAAGAGTCAGTGAAGACCCTGAAGATTGATGAAGAAGAAGCTGAGCAAGGAGATGATGCTGAATCTCTCCCTCTGCAACTCTTCCATAGAGTACCTTCTTCAAATCAGGTAACAAATTTTCACTTTCACAGCTCTTCAGCAACCACACTTCCGGATGAGATCCTGGAAACCTGGATAAGGAAGGTCCAAGGGTTAATTGAATCAGCCCTGAAGTCTCAGCATGCCTCTTTTAGGCAAGAGATGGAACAGATGGAAACAAGGCACAACCAAATGATGGAAAAATCTGAAGAAAAGTATTGCTCAAATCTCAACGAGATAAGCAAATCAGTAGACAAAACTCTAGCGATCATTTCTCTATTGAGTAAGTCTGTGAGCAATACAATGATGGCTTTTGCATCTGACTGCCACCTTCAATTCAAAGAAGCCACTGCAATAAGGCAGCAGATTGCCACAATCACAGTCAACCTTCAGAAGTGGATGTCACTCCTCCAGATGGATATCGGATCAGCCTTGGCAGTGTCATCAGCAAACCAGGTGGTAACACAAGATTACCTAAAGGTTCTTGCTGACAATCAGAAAGAAGCATTCAGGCTCTTCAGGCACTTTGGCACCTACACTGGGAAACAAAAGCTGGAAGTGATTGTCCAACCCAGAAGTCCATCTCAAATTCCAAAGTTTCCGATTGAAGTTAAACAAGGAGAACTCTCATACATTCCATCACATCTGAACATGACGGAGCTGATACTTGAAGCCCAGCAGAGCAATCCGGAGAACTCAATCCAGCATCTATCAAACACTGAGTTTGATGGAACAGAAGATGTAGGAACCATTGCCTCCCACTTCACAAATGATGCCCAGACAGAAGAGAGATATAACAACCTCAAGCGCATCCAGGAAGAGTGTGGAGTTATGCAAGGCATTGGTGAAGTTGCCGGATCATCCAAGCACAAGAAGAAGTGAAGGCTCCATCAAAATAGGGGGAAGTATTGAAAACATTATTTATGTTTTGATGAAAACACCTTTTTGTTTAAACATGAGTTCTTGGTTTAAACATTGCTTAATACATCTCTTAATTATGCTTGAACATATTTCTTTAAAGTATGATTTTTGAGATTTATTATTGAGCGCATACATTCAGGGGGAATGTAATTCAGGAGGAACTTAACTGTTTTTGGAAAATATTTGTCTTTTGGCAATGAACTACTGATAAACTCTAAGCAATGGAAGACGGATACCTCAATTTTTGTACTAGAGTTGGAGATCTCCGATTCAGGTATTCTACAATATATGCCCTTCTAAACTTAGTTTCAATCCATAGTTCATTTCTAACTTTGCTCTAAAGTACTGGTCCTTAGGATTTTTATAATGTACAGGACTTTGGAAAATTAATACGACTTTACTTTTAAAAATAAAATTAATTTCTTTTGGTACTACCTCGTCCTAATTAGAAATTAGAACTATAGGGAATGAAAAATGATAGATTTTATCTTGGGCCTTGAGAACCCAATAGGAATAATTTCCCTTTAGTACATAGATTTTTTTGGGCCACTCTTTTGGGCTTAGCCGAACCAAAGCAGTTACGTTTTTCAAACCAAATGAAACTAATTTCATTTGAAACAGTTTCAACACATTGGTAACCGGTAAAACATTCCTTCAACTTTTCAAAATACAACTTCTTGGGAGTTCAAACTCTTTTATTCTCACCGTTCCAACTACCCACTAAATGGAACCCGTGAACCTCCCCTTCTCAACTTCTCCTTCTATTTAAACCAAGTCATTCCAATCCATTCCTATCACAAACAACTCTCACATTATGAAAAGTCTTCAAACTCACTTTCTGAGAAAAACACCAAGAAATATATCCTCAATGGAGAAATTTTTCTTTCTCACCCTCATAGACGGCAATGGAGAAAGCCTGGTGAGAAGAAAAGATATTCAAGATGTCTGGTGGGAATCTCGGCAGTAGAGAAGATGATTGGTGGGAATCTCCCATATTTTTGCATCTCGCCACATATCTTCTCCAGAACAACACTCTCTCCATTCTCGTTTCTTTTAATTTTCTTTTAAAAATATTCTTTTTCCTTTTCTATTTTTTTGCTCTTCAAATTTTCTTTTTAAGTTTTTTTTTATCTTGGCCTACTTTCATCTCTCACTCTTCCCTTTTCTCTTTCTTTTCTTTTATTTTGTTTCAAATTGATTTTAGGTGTCCACTTCTCCTCCCTCTTCCCCTTTCCCTACCTCTTTTCAAACTCTTTTTCAAATTTTCTTCTGGTTTCCAACTTTCTGGTTTTCTTTCCCCTTCTTCTACTGTTTTTCAAAACCTTTTCTTCCCTAGTCACCATTCTTTCTTTAAACTTTCTTAAAATTTTATTTTTCTTAAAACCCTTCTTTTATCTTCCTTTTCACAATCTTTTCCCTTTCCCAAAACCTCTTCTTGTCCTTCTATCTTTTTCTTTCCTTTCACCAGCTCCTCCTTTCCTCCCATCTCTTTTTGTTTTTGTTTTTGCTTTTTGGAGAGATGTTGCTTCCTAGATCTCAAATATCCACTTTGGATATTGGGATCCATCAAACACAATGTCATGTGAACTTCCAAGCAACATCCACTAGAAATGATAGCAGCAAATGGCAGAAATATCACAAATCTCAAGACAAGACTTGGTTTAGGAACTGTTGTAATTTGAATTGTATTTGTTTAAGAGTTTTTCTTAACAAGCTGTATGTTATGAGAAACTAAAAGAAAGTTATAAAATTAGTTCTTAGTACAGCGACCAGAACTCTTAAACACGTGTTTGTCATCATCAAATTAAAAAGGGGGAAATTGTTGGGAAAAATATTATAGATTTTGATAATGATGTATTTAGATTGTAATAGGGACTTTAGGTCACCCCCAAATAGTCAATGTAATTTTTCTTTTAGAAATATTGTTAAAACCGAGTTCTTGAGATTTCCAATAAAGTTGTGATATTTTACTCTGTGGTTTGATTTCAATCATTGAAGACTTAATCAAATTCAGTTATATGGAAATTGGAATTCTTGATCGGATATGTCAGAGACAAGTAAGGAATTCTCAAAGCAGTTGATTACTTTGAAGATTCTCAAATCCGAAACACTCCACAATAGCCGGATGTCTCGCAACAACCCGCTGAAGGCTAAGTCATCCGGATCGGAAGACTAGCGCAGATCTCTTTCTCACCTGGAAGTCTATGAATGACTTTTCCGGAATTGTCAGCGAAAAACCGGATGCCTCAAGAAAGACCGGAATTCTCAGAAGCAGACAAGTGAGAAACAGACTTAGAAAATTATCTAAGTCTTGAACGAAGAAATTCTACCCGTTGGTAAGAAAAAATCAATCTCTTGATTTTCAACAGCTAGATTGAGGATATTTAAGCTGATTCAAGAACAAATGATTTGAAGACAAAGTCTGGACTTCTCAAATTAAAGAGCTCGCCCAGAATTCCTAAACAAACACTAGAAGACAAACTGAGTACTCCACTCAATAAAGAGCTACAATCCAGAATTCTTGAAGAACAGCTAAAGGACGGATTCTGTGAAAAAGGAATCCTTCTTCAAAGAATTGGGTGTGTCCAAACACCCATTCAAATGAAGAATCCTCAATCACAATCTTCATTCAAATTGAAGCCAGCAAATGCAACGGATAGTCTATTCCCTTCAGCGGATAGATTACCCAATCCAGCTATATATAGCTTCCATGGAAGACTGGAGAAAAATATGAGATAGAAAGCACGAAACAAATACAACAAAGCAAACTACTACAACAAAGCTATCTCATTCACAATTAGCCAAAAAGCTTGATAAAGAGAGATTTCTAAACTCCTTATCGAGAAGCAAACTACTCTTCCTTCCAAAGAGCTATAGTGTAAACACTTGAAGGTTTCCTTGCCTCAAGTACCACACCACGTTGAAGGATACATCTTTTAATAAAACTTCTTGATTAAAAAGGGGATACATTAACTTTCCTACAAGTTGATCTTGCAAGTCCTATTGTTCGGATCTTGCAGTTGTTGAAGAAGCTTGACCTTCGAAGGAACAACAAAGCCAGCACGTGTGCAGTAGCAACATTGGCCTTGCGAAAAGATACCGTGCAAAAACTCACACAAGTGTAATTGTTGGTTCATTATTCAACAACCAAGTACATAGTGGATTTTGAGAACGTAGAAGGATTACCCCACCTTCGAACCTCGTTAAAGTTTGCGTGTCTCTCTCTCTTTTATCTTTACTCATACTTGCAATTATATTAACTGTGAAACTAACCCATCCATATTGATTACTGCTCTTCTAACCCACCAACTTCCGCACACAATCTAAGGTTCACAAGAACTCTAGATTAACATTCATTTTCAAGAAGAGAAGTGAAGGGATTCTCATCAACCAAGCCAAGTACACAAGGGATCTTATCAAGAAATTCAAAGTTGATCAGAAGTCATCCGTTTCTGTCCCCATGTGTACATCCACCAAGCTTGACATGGATGTAGATGGAAATGATGTTGACCAAACTTTCTACAGAGGAATAGTTGGATCTCTACTCTACCTTACTGCAAGCCGTCCAGATATCTCATATGCAGTAGGTGTTTGTGCCAGATTCCAGTCAAAGCCAAAGGAAAGTCATTTAATTGAAGCCAAAAGGATTCTTAGATACCTAAAAGGAACTCAGAATATGGGTTTATGGTATGTTAAGAGCAGCTCATTTGAGTTAGTGGGATACTCAGATTCTGACTTTGCTGGATGCAAAGTTGACCGGAAAAGTACTTCTGGTACTTGTCAATTCATTGGCAGAAATCTTATTTCTTGGTTCAGCAAGAAACAAAACACCATCTCTACATCTACAGCTGAAGCAGAGTACATTGTTGCTGATAGTTGTTGTGCTCAAAACTTGTGGTTAAAGCAACAACTACTGGACTATGGAGTCAAAACAAAGGAAGTGACAATATTTTGTGACAATCAAAGTGCTATAGCCATCTCACAAAATCCAGTACATCACTATCGCACTAAGCACATTGATGTCAAGCTTCACTTCATCAGAGATCATGTGGAAAAGAAGTATATCAAAATTGAGTACATCTCAACTGAAGAACAACTGGCGGATATCTTCACAAAACCACTAAGTGAAGCCAGGTTTTCCAACTTGCTTCACAAAATTGGTCTAATTCAATTAGATTGAGTGCGGTACACATGGCAGTCCACTTACCACGTCTGGTAAAGAAATGGGAAGGCACGTGGCCTTGGGAACAGTTTAAAACCCAATCGCCACTAGCCGCATAAATCGCCCAAAATTAAACCCAATCGCCACTATATTCATATCTCAATTGCCCACTCAGCCCACTCTAATTTTCGTCGTCTTCCTCACAAGAATTCTCAAGAACCCTAATTTCTTCAGATTCTTTCCCCAAAATTCAGCGAAAATGAAGATTGTTAGAGCGAATGTTCATTTCCAGAAATTAGAAGCCAAATGTTCTGCACCGGTGTTCTATCAAACTTATTTGGAGATGATTGCTGCACAGGAACTCTCCGAATTCCTTCATCTGGAAATCGGCTCCATGTATGAAGACGAAGTTCTTGAATTCTACAAGAATGGGAAAGTCACAACGGTTCAATCCAAGAATGATCCACAGAGGACTATTTCAGTAATTAAGTCCACTGTTGGAGGCACCTAGGTGAAGATTTCTCAGAAGAAATTGAAGAAAAAGCTCCATGTTCCCAACTCTGGAATTGAAATTGGGAAGCTCCCGTCTAAGAATCTGGACTGGAAAACTATTGGGATTTCTGGACAAATCCCCTCTGCCCCAGCAAAGAAGGCCGATCTGAAGAACGACTACAAACTGGTCTTGGAACTGGTCATTGCATGTCTTGAATGTGGCTGTGGAGGACATGCAGATGACATAACTCAAGAAAGGGCATTCATCATCAACGCCCTCATTACCAGAACCAAGGTAAATTGGGCTAAACACTTCTTCAACTCTGTTTCAAAGCATTTAGGGAAGCCCAAGCTGAAATATCTCTGTCAAGGATTGTACCTTGGGTATATTTTGGAATCCTTGGGTGTTTCTTCTGAAGGTAAGAAGTATGATTCCAGATATTGGCTCTACTATCTGTCTTCTAAAGGAGAAAACAGAGCTAGTTCAACTGCAGAAGATGAAGGCTCTTCAGACAATGTCCTGATCGTAAGTCTGAAGAAGTCCTCAAAAAGGAAGCGAGTGGTTTCTCCCTCCCCCAGTCATAAGGAACCACACACTCTTGCCCTGGTTAATTTAAATCAAGTAGATGAAGTCTCTGTTCAAGGAGAACTTCAGAAGAAGAAGAAAAGAAGAGTCTCCTCTCCCTCTACATCTGGAAATGCCAATCCGGATAACTTGATGCAAAATAAACCAATTGAGGAGGTTTTTGCACAAGAACAGAATCCTCAACAGTCTGACACTCCTCAAGACCAGAGTCTTCCATCTCCTCCATCACAAGCTCAAACTGATGATGAAGTGAGCGAATTCATGCAGCTCTACTATGATTGGAGAGTTTGGAAGGTTGGAAACTCTGCAGATCAGTTGCTTGAATGGGATCAACAACTGAAGAATGAGAAGGTCATCAAGAGATGTTTGGGACTTCCAATCAACTACTGTTGTTATACCCCTGGATGGCTCCACCAAAATCCCAACCCCTCCCAAATATCCAAAAGTATTTTATTTCCTTTTGATATCCAAAATAAAGTTTTTCCTACTCTTATTTTCGCCTAGGGCCAAAAATAAGAGTGTGTAAAATACAACCTTTTGTTTGTTGTTATTTTCCTTCTTTTAAACCTTTTAATAAACAAATAAAACATTCTCTCCCTTCCTCTAAATCCCTAGCCAAATATCCCTCACAATCCCAACACAACATCAACAAAGAGCCAAAAACCATGACCCACAACCAGCCATATATCCTGCCCATATTCCCCTTACAATATCCCAAACCCATAAATCCAAAATCACATTATTCCCTTCCCCTTC